GGGCTTAGTGAAGCGAATACTAGGATTTGAGACTAGGGCTCATATAGGGGATTAGGGTTTAGGGGTTTATGCATAAGTAATGGACATGTCGTACCACTCATGGCTGACAAAGCTCAATCGCAAACGCTTGTTTCTTCGGGCCTGCGATTGTTCACAGTGACGCTTTTGCAATGCATTTTGCATGCAAGGGAACTGAGAAGATTGCTGTGCTGGCTTTGCGACTGCAGTCTTGCAGCAAGGTCAAAAAGTAGGCCCCTGAAGCTTGAACTGACAGGCTGGCAGGAGTCTGCCCACACGAGCTGGCAACTGCATGAAGTAGACTGCAGGAAGCAGACAGCCTAGGCAAGACTGAAACTTACACCAACACCACCCAGCCCCAGTAGGCGGTCAATCTGTGAAGCACGAAAGCTACGCCACGCGAAGGCGAGCTTTGAGGGCCCGCGCGACTAGCGCGATGACTGCGCCACTTGTGGCGGACACAAGGTTGCCAACAATGTGCGTGAAAGTGGACACACCAAGTTGCTGCACGGGGCACGTGCCCTCAGGACTGACAGTCCACACCGGTGGTCGGAGAGCACTATCCAGCTGAGCTAGCACTTCCTCCAAAAGCTCGTCAAAAACTGTGGTCAGTAGGGCACTGCTGTGCCGGATTGCTACGCGTATGGACAAGGCAAGAAGCTTGCTGAGCAACAAACCAAAAGCAGGCCTGAAGGTGAGGGCACAAAGCGCCAGCGCAAGCGCTATTTGAAGCTTGCGAAAACGTGACAGCTGCAGCATGGAGCTGCACCCACAACAGCGGGTGCTACGCGAATGGGTTCTAGGCTTTGGGATAGGCCGGCATGGCACACGGTCCACATCAAGAACTGCAGCTGGAGCATCTGGCTGATGGTGCACATCGAGATGCTGCAAAGCTACTTTTGCCCTAGCATACTGGTGGAAGGAAGGGTCCGCTGCGTACCGCCTAGCAGCCCTGCGCACGGCGTCAAGTTCAACGGCCCCATAGAGCTGGCCTCTCAAACTCCCNNCGGTTGCGGAATTGATGTTCCAAAGCCTGCATAACTTTCAGCTGCAGCGAGCGCCAATTGCCACTGATCTATGGCAGGAGGGCGCCAGTGCGGACCTGGCACGTCTTGTTGCACCAGAGGTGGCGGCAGAGAAAGGACACTGAGTGCTAGGGGCAAGGCGCTACGAAGTAAGGCCTGAGCCGAGGGCTGCAACCGGGCTACTAATTGGAACGCTACAGCCTCCTGCAAGTAGTGGTTTAGGGACCTTTCAACAGACCACCGACCTAGAAACCTCAA